ACCTTTACAGATAAAGCCAGTGCCTCCTTGCTCCTTCTGATTTCCTGCTCCCTAAAAAACTTCCAAGTGTGGGAGATTTCTCAATTTTCTCCACATACATTCCATACGATGATCCTAATATCTTCTGTGGACCCCTTGGAAACCATCCATATACACACTGGGATCCATGAGTACACCCTGGGGTCCTCTGTTCTGTGCTCTCATGTTAAGCACTGTCACATTGTGTTTAATGCAGATGCCGTGAAGCTGGCACAGTGGCTGCAGCCAGTGATGCTCACATCCCTAGAGCTAAGAAACTGTGAGCAAGCACTGTTTATCTTCCTCTAGCATAAACAGGTTCGATGAGGATGAGCCTATCATAAAAGACTTCTGCCCACTGGGTAAATGTCTTTTCTCTAATTGTCTGCTAATTGGCAAAGAGCTAATCCCACTTATTATCAAGATTCTTTCTCCTGAGAAAACTCAGCCAAGAGCTTCATAAATCCTTTTCCCTCATCCTTCTCAATTTTAAAAGCTATTCCAGTATCATTTGGTGGCTATCACCTAAGGAGGTGTTACGTTTGAGTTAATCAGCTCCTGCAAGGTTATATATGATATCCAAAAGTGCGTTAGTCAGCATCTTAATTTCTGTCTTAATTAGTGTTTGCTGGACTAAAATTGTCATTTACTATAGGCATTTGTACTGACCTCTCAAATTACGATCACCCATTAAATTAAATTTGGAAGAAACCCATTGGGTCACTCATCCTTTTCACCAAAGCGTATTACTCGTGATGTGTGGCAGGGAACTCAAGTGTAGAATATGATTAAGAACACTGCAGCTAACTCGTCTCTGAAATGTAAATACAATTAATGAGTGTACCTGTCCTCCTCTGGCTTGCCCTTGTCTGCTTCATCCTTCTGACTTCTTTGTTTGGGTTTTTGATGTCCTTGCCTGCCTCCCCACTCAAGATTGCAAACAATGTTTTGCAAAAGAATTCCCAGTGACTAAAATTACTGGAAATATTTCACAGATTTCTCAGGATGTTTGTTGCACTTTAATATACCTTTAACATCTAATTGTGACCAGGACTGTGCTAAGTGTCCCTTTCATAATTTGGCACCACAAATAATTTCATGTGAACATGGTAAATGCAGTATTGAAAGTTGAACATCAGTTGGCTTGTGGTGAAAGCCTATATTTGCAACATCAAGCTGTAGTACAGCCACATCCATTCATTGGCTGTCACAGACTTCCAAATAACAGCAAGTGCACTAGGAAATTGAAGACATGCTTGGGAAGCACTGACTGTGCCATGGCAGGAGGCCCTGACACTGCTGGATGAAAAACAGCGAGCTTTGTTGCATGCAGCAGCCTGGAGCTCTGGGGAGGAGGAGGATAAACACTGGGGATACCTGAAGATACTGTGTTTTAGGGCAGGGACAGGGGGGTGTTCCAGCACCTCCACACAGAGAAATGCACACAGGCCAGTGGCGCCAGTTTGATTTGGATAACGAAAGCAGCAGTAAAGACCTTCAGCCTTCTTTCACTTGTGTTATCTTATGTCTGACTCATACTTGAGTCCCCACTGAAACACTATCTAAAACTCAAATAATTGATACCATTTTTTCCTCGTTCAAGAGATTCTGAAACAGAGTATATCATTTCTTCCAGAAGTTCAACACACACTGTACACAAACATAGAAGAAAATCTGTTATAAGCATGATTAATAGCTAATTGGCTCATTTTTCAGATAAGAAAATCATCCACTGCTTTAAATATATATATATATACACCAAATGTGTTAGGCTTGGTTGTCCTAATTAGTTTGGACAGAAAATTATTTCAATTTCGATGTTTTGATGACAGAAAAAAAACCAACTGAGTCAATTCTTCAATATAATGAAGTTAATGGCAAACTCCTTGATCATGTTGTGAAGCGAAACCAATTCCTGACACGTAACTCAGATGACATACCATTTACTGATTAGTCTGCAGGGCACATGGATAGTAAAGGCTGATTCCTTTTGCATGCCTCTATACTTGCTTTCCTTCCCTCCACATGAAAAATAAAGAAGCACTGAATCCAGTAGTATCTACCTGCCTGTGGCAGAGGGATTGGAGATCTTTGGAGTCTCTTCCAACCCAAACATTCCGCAGTTCTGTGATTTCAATAACTAGAAGAACGTTTCACTGTCATCTTCAGACAACTTTTATTTAGTGGGCTACAATTTGGGTTTTGTTTCGGATCATTGACTGAAATCCAATGCAATAAATCCATATAGCACTAATTGTAAGTGCAGGCACAAAGCATTAAGCAAGGATTAAAGACTGCTCAGGCATACCAGAGTTCTTTCCAACAAGACAAATTGCAGTTATTATTTTATATCAATGAACTGTAATAATCTTGAATTCCCTGCACTGATAGAGAAATTTGTGATAATGAACTCTTATCTATCTTACCTTCTAACCTGCAGAGAAAGTTTAACTAAAGTAGTTACCATCTTAGGTTTCTTGATCTTTTTGATAAAAAAAAACCTTTCACCTCTGACTTGTGCTGGCAATGAAGCTGACTCCTATGCAACCTCTTAGGCTGTGCAGAGTTTAAGTCCCACCTGGATAGGAGCAGTTTTCAGTTCTCATTTTGAACTAGCGGGAGGTGATGCTGGATGAAAGCAAGGCTAATCCTCTCAGCACGCTACTCAGAAGCAACTCTAAGCAGATCTCAAAAGGTGAAATCAGCCAAAGAAACATCACCTAGAAGTCCTGTACTATTCAGTTTAGTAGTCTTTCTGACTGCCTCTCCTGCTAGGTATGTGAAGCAGGAGCGCACTGCTCAGCGTACACTGTCATGAAGAGAGCTGTTGTGCATTTACACACATACAGGAGGCAGAAATACCCACACCAAGATGCTTCCTCACCCCACAAAGGTTCTGCTTCTGTGGTAGACATACTAGGCTACCACGTGATAGCGCCATAAGTGGAAAAACCAGCAGAAGTCTCCATTTTTTCCTGGTAACCATCTGCTCATACAGTCCCATGAACCCCACTTGCTGATACACAGGCTCTGCATGGCAGCAGTGCCAAACCTGCTGGAGTTCAAGGAGCACTTGAACAACACTCACAGATGTAGGGTCTGGATTTTGGGTGGTATTGCATGGAGCCAGAAGTTGGATTTGATGATCCTCATCTTTCCCTTCCAAATCACGCTGTTCAGTTTTGATGACTACCTCTAAGCACACTGAAAAATTTTTGTGTTGAAGAATTCTACCACTTACTAGCAGTCCTGGAAACAAATGCACTTCTTCTCATACAGGCACTGTAGGAGACATGTATAGACTTATGAGATTCTGTGCCTGCATACTTAAGTTTGCATGTTCCAGGCCACGGCACATGAAGAAGCACGATCAACAGAAAGAAACAGCAGCTTCCTGAAACAGCATCAGCCATTTGCTCCACTACTGATCATTACCCTTTTTCTTCCCCATCCTTGATTACTCATCCCAGGTGAGGTAGAGCACAACAAAAATGAAACCACTCAAGCAGATGAAGCACAGCCACAGTCACGTTGGGATTTTAAACTTCTGCATTGAGCAGGTGAGGTCCTTTGTAGCAACAATCCACTGTCTCCAACTGACACATTTTTTCTCTCTTCTCCATGTGAATACTGATCCTGTTTAATTTATGAGAATGAGTCACAGAGCAGGATGTTAAGCTACAGATGATACAATTTCAAAACACAGTAACAGATAAATGATGAAGAACAGAACTCAAAGAAAGCAGGATGGGAATAGAGAGGCAGGTTCACTAAGTTTTCCAAGTCATTATGCCTTTCATATCCTTTCACACTCTTTCCACAGACAATGCATTAAAAGTAGAAGCTAGCAAATATTTGTACATGGTGTCACTTAGCCTTATCATGACTTCCTTGAGTTACAGCGGGCAATAAGGAAGTCATGGTTGGTTTTGAAAATGGGTACGGACTGGCCTCCTGAAAGAGCAGGCAATTAGTACACGTTGTAATTACACCCCCCTTTCCCAGTCCAATGCTCTCTCACGTAAAATAGTTGAGCGTTTATCTCCACAATTACTGATTCTGCTAACTTACTTCAGAATTAACAAAATGAGTTTTCTGGGATCTCCATCAGGATTCTCACAGTGCTGTAGATCTGTGGCACAAGAGTAAAGACCAAGTCCATCCTCCAGACTTTCTCAGTCACGAAACCAGTTCATTATAAAGCATGCTAGCACTGAACAGGAAGGTAAGATGTGTATTAACAGAACACACATAAATGCTCCAGCTTCTAAAGACTATGAATGAGGAGAGGTGATTAGGAATTGAATTCATTTCCATATAATATTTTTTCCAAGTATCTAGCAGTTGTCTAATCAGACAAGTGAAAAAATGACAAAAAAAGCATTAATTTAGTCAATAGTAAGGAACCCACAGTACATAGAAATAACATATGAAAGACCTGCAGAACAAATTGATGTGGCTTCCTTTACTTTGATGTTTCCCTGAAGACACACTAGGAGTATTGCCCTAGTGTATAGGGGAGTATTGCCCCACTTTTCTCAAAGACAGTTTATATCAAAGTAAAAGAATGCATATACCTGGTTTAAGAGTTTAAGGTAATCACCTACATGGCATAGAACACTGTTTCAGTGTTTAATCTGTTGTTCACATTCTTTTCTTTCACATCTTAAGAAGATATACTTGTTAAAATTTGAAACCTTACCACTGATTACACCAGTCAAAGCAATTATCTTTACCTGAGCAGTTATGTGTGTTAGAACTAACATGAAAGCGTCAGCTGGCATGTGGTCTTAATTTATATGGGCATGTTCCTTTTAAACAAAGTTTGGTGCTGCCCAACTGACTTACAAGCAAGACAGAAGTATTACTCATCTAATTTCAGCACAACTGCTTACAAATGAGAGTCAGAAAACATTGTGTCACCGCATCACTGACAATATTGTGGCTAAAACAAAGAAACAAAACAAGCAAACAATGAGATATATGAGTAGGCAAAATATATACATGTTCAAACAGCCATTTACAACATGGATATATGTCTTACTAACAGCTCCGGCCCTAAAAAATTAAAAACAAACAAAAAGCATGTTCTCGCTTATTAATGTAAGCTTACAAATACTACAAGTAGACACCATCTTATCCATCTTCAGAGGTAATCTTTTGCCTTTCTGAAAGCACAAGGTATTTTCCATAGATCTACTGATGCTGTTAAACAATCCATCTGATTTCCAAAACCAAACTGTTCTTCAGTTCATCATGGTTTATATCCATAATCCAATAAAGTATTTGACTTTGAACTAGACCCACATGCCAAGAGACATGGACAGCAGAAAACTACCATGGCATACCTATGATACAACATTTTGTATACAACTACAGGTATTGGGCTTAGAACATCATGTCATCTAGTCCATCCTCCATAAATTTCTTGTAAATTGCCATAAACTTTGCTACAAATGCTTCAAGATGATAAATGGCTTTGCTGCCCAGTTGCAAGCGGTGTTCATAGAAGGCTGCCATCTGTGCAACTTCTCCTTTCAGTTGTCCATCACAGTTATTCAAAAGTTCTGTCAGGAGACCCTAAAAGGCAAAAACAAGGCAATATTTAATAAGTTTTACATTTTTAGTTAAGAGAATAACCTCAGTTTTCCAGAAATAGCCAAGCAACAACCACCAGCTCATTCAGGAATCTAACAGAAAAGATGTTCAAGAATCTTTATTACATCATATGTCAAATGAAACTAGATTTATGAAACTGAGTCTCTTCACAGCATTCTTACTGGATAAGTAATTCACACCAAAGCAGCAGGTAGCTATTATACTCTTAGATGAGAAAACAAAAATAATTTAACTACTTGTGCTTTAATAAATGAATAAATTAACATCATCTTCAAATACTACAACATATACTTGCATACAGGCATATGACCAGGAGAATTATAGGTAAAGTTGGCTAAAATTGCTTATTTCCTATTTCCACTCTTCATGATTTTACTGGTCACAAAGAGTAATAACCTACACAAAATAAGGTTTTACAAAGATAATCAGGGGACTGGAGCACCTCCCCTACGAAGACAGGCTGAGGGAGCTGGGCTTGTTCAGCCTTGAATAAAGAAGGCTGTGAGGTGACCTCACTGCAGCCTTTCAGTACCTAACGGGAGCCTACAAACAGGAAGAGAGTCAACCCTTTGAAAGGGGTTGATAACTGCAGGACAAGGGGAAATGGTTTTAAGCTGAAGGAGGGAAGATTTAGGTTGGATGTCAGGGGGAAGTTCTTTACCAAGAGAGTGGTGAGGTGCTGGAACAGGCTGCCCAGAGAGGTTGTGGATGCCCCGTCCCTGGAGGTGTTCAAGGCCAGGTTGGATGGGGCCCTGGGCAGCCTGGTCTAGTATTGAATGGGGAGGTTGGTGGCCCTGCATGTGGCAGGGGGTTGGAGATTCACAGTTCTTAAGGTACCTTCCAACCCAGGCCACTCTGTAAGATAAGAGCTTATTTAAAGCTTATGTATAGGTTCTTGTATGGGCACAAGATACTTTACAATACTTTACTCATGAGAAGAAAAAAAAAAAAAAAAAAAAAGCACTTCGATAAGGAAGAAAATCTCAGCAAATCTCTATTAAAACTTGGGATCAAGCAAAAAGTATCATGAGCATATCTGAAGTTGAGGAAGGAAGAATGGTCTTTATGCTGAAAGTGTACACTGAGAGGACAATGCAGGATGCACTAGCCCACTATCAGCAAGGATGATTAAAGCAAAATAAGTACTGTGACCATCACAACACAGAAGTCAGTTAAAACGACCCAAAAAACCCATATTGTTTTGTAATCATGTCCAATAGCAATGTCCAGCTAGGGTAGCTGAAAACATGAGCTGCTCCTTTTTTTATTCCCGCCCTTTCTTCCAGCATCTCCCTAATACAAGAACATACACATCCCATTTAGTGGGAGGTTTTTGTGGATTGACTTTCTTTGGATAAGAAGAAATCAGCTGCTCTAGTCATGAATGTCAATGAAGGAAACATAGCAACTTCTAAATATTTCACAACATTTTTACCAAAAAGAACAAACTGGATCAAATTTAGTCCGTAAAGCACGCCTGTGCTTCAATACAGAAACACAGCATAGAAATTCTGAGGTGGACAAAGTGTATCCTCCATTTTTTTACTCAGCTTTGCCATCAATGACACAGTAAGTTTTAGTAAATCAGAGAGATCTGAACAAGGAAGCCTGAGAGGGAAAACATCTGGTGTATTATAAGTTAGAGAACAGAACCTTCCTGTCCTCAAAAGCTACACAACTCAGTCAGGATCCAAATGTATGCAGCTATGAACGTAACAGTCCAGTAGATCTATTCAGAATAATTAGAATTGAATGTTATGCATCTACGTGTGCAGAACAAGGTCTTCAGCCAGTGCTTCAAAGCAATAACTTGGACTATTTTGGTTACTTAGTAGAAAGAAACACAAAAGCATCATAAAGTCACTCACAACCATTTGGAAAGGACAAAGGTTTTCTTCAACATCTGGAAGATTTTGATTTCCATTTTTATTTTTTTTAATTAAGATTACCAGTGTTAATATCTGTACTACAGTTAAGAGTTAGAATACCTTCATTATAACCTCAGGAGGAATGCAGTGTGTTAGGAGTTCATAGAGCCGTCCACGAACCTCTAGAAGTCTGTAGGAGAGACCATGAAATATCAGATGTAAATCCACAAGGCATACTCATTTTCACTACTTGAAGTATGTCACAGGACAGGAAAAAAAAAAAGCAAACCAGGTAGAGGGTTCTTGTCTTGTAGATTCTAAAACCAGAAGCATTGCATCTTGGATAGTTTCAACTCAAATAATACATATCACCTTCTGTTCAAAACAATAAAGTATAATACATACAGCATATTTACATGCTTTTGTAATTTACAGCTAACTTTGAAGCTAAAAGGCTATCAGAATTTGTTTCCTTAAATTCTACTTTCCATCTAAATTCTTATTATTTACATTTAATATCAGTAGAAGACTACAAAAGATTCTACATGTACAAGACATGAGTTGGACTAATGCAGAGAGCACCTCACACTGTTCTTGAAAGAGAAATCACTGATTTATTATTTCACATGAAGTTATTTCACAGAATCATATTATGACAGAGGTGATGAAACAAAAGCTTTAAATACTGAAAAATAAAAAGAAAGCAAACAGCATAGCACTCAACTAAGCTTATGTTCACTTTTGAATACAAAGCTACAACAAATTGCACAGAAGATGCAGAGAAAGTGATACTTCACCACCAGACTGAAGCAATCAAGAAATCACTCCAATTTAACCAAAGAACTGAATATAGTTAAGAGACCTAAAAACTCACGAACATTCAAGACAATCCATCTCTAATGCCTCAGATTACTGTATTTCGTATTTATGAGCAATGACAATCAGAAAAAGGGCTATTCCTTTCTTCCTTTCAAGTCTTTCTGTATCTTCCCACTCTCTAAATATCATTCTTTTCATAGAAGTAATGTTATCTATTCTCTGAGCATTTTTGTCCAACTTCCGCAAACTCCAACATTCACTTAAAACTTTCCAGCGCAATACTTAGAAATGGATATAGCATTCCAAAGCAAGTCTCACTAATAATACATAAATAGCATAGCAGAGATAACTGAGACTTACTAAGCTTTCATGCAGGCTGTTTGTTATCTTGTATATTTATCTACTAAATTACAAAGTCTAGTGAAATGCCAAAAAATTACAGATTACAAGAAATGCAATACCTAAAAAACACAGCATCTTTAGCATTCAGCATAAAGCAAACAAACAAGTGCAATTTGTAGCTATGAGTATATTTATCTACCTCTGTGGTGTCTGTTGACTGACAATAGCATTTGCAGTTTCCCTCAGATAAATTTCCCAGTCCATCTCAGGAATGTCTTGATCAGCACTGAAAGGATACCTACATTGAAGGTAATAAAGCAAACTTTGTCATCTGGTCTAACAACAATACACACATTGATTCATATGTCTAAAAGCATAGGTTGAATTAATTATTAGCAGCCACTTACTGTTGTACTCTGCAAGACTCACACATAAGTAGTGCTTTCCGAAGATTCCTGCCAGATTTCTCTGCAAGCCTTTGAGCCAGTTCCTGAGGAAGAGTCAGGCCCTCTTTCTTACACACACTGGACAACACATGACAGATCTAGATGGGAAACAGCATGAAGTGTGACATTTAGCAAACAGTTTAGCACCTACAGATTCTCCTACTTGAAATATTTCTAAAGCAGAGCTGGACTGAGCTATCATGAAACACGCTTGACAAGTCACCCACCACTAAAAACGAGGTTACTCTGTGGAAATAAAATATCACCTCAGCCCACAACAAGAACTTATCTAGTAAGAAGTTTTAAAGGACCGATTTCTGCTTCTGTTCCAACGTACATCTTCAATGCTGGGAGCAGGCACTCGTACTGTCAGGCACCTGCTTTGAATAGGTCCTATAATTTTTGATATGGAGTTGCAGCACAGGATCAGTCTGCAGGTTGCCATGTACTTCTCCATTGTTCTTCGCAAAGCGTGCTGGGCATCTTTAGTGAGCTTGTCGACTTCTGTTAACAGCACCACTGAAAAAGGAAAAAGAAGCATACTGTACTCCTTAATAAAAGGTGTACTTTTATGTTAAAGTGATAATGCTAAAATGAATCACACAAGCAGCAAAGAGGTAGCACAGTTGCACACATACGAAACCAAAGCAATAGTAAGACAATCTGTGTGCTTTTTTGACTGTGTAATCTGCTTCTCCCTCATATTCTATGCCCATGTAATAGAATTTTCTTCAGAGCCAAGAAGTAATTCAGGTAGGTGTAGAAGCTTTCACCCTGATAACAAGTACAATAACTTTTTAGAGAAATTCTATGTAAGAAACACAAAAAGCATTTATGGCATAAGGTCACAGCAAAAATGCACACGTTTCCTGAAGACTCCCCCCAGTATATTTTATATTTAAAGCTGATGTTTTATCTTAGCAAAGGAGTGACAGAAAGCTGTTGTGTTATAGTAGCTGCAGGTATATCATGGTATTTCAAGGAAAGAGAAAAACATTTCAAAAGTGCTTTGGAACAATCAAGAGATGTCTGACATGAAACTACTAAAACATCAAAATTCAACACCATTGTCAATTATTTTTTTCCCCTCAAGATTTCCTCTCTCCTTCAATTTCTTATTATATAGTTCTAGTTTTGCTCTTAATTTATTCAAGAAGAGGAAAAATAAATCAGTTGTAGAAACAAGTGTCTTAAAAGACTCAACGAAAGCCATCTTCATTTTCTTATTCAGAATCCTGCTGTACATTGCAGATAAAATGCTTATGAACCTTCTGCTCAGTGCAGCTCAAGGCACCTCATCCTCCAAATAAGCAACTAACTCAACACAGCACCATTAACATAATCATAGAATAGCCTGGGTTGAAAAGAACCACAAAGATCAACTTGTTTCAGCTCCCCCCCCCACCATGTGCAGGGTCATCAATCAGCAGACCAGGCTGCCCAGAGCCACATCCAGCCTGGCCTTGAATGCCTGCAGGGATGGGGCATCCACAGCCTCCTTGGGCAACCTGTTCCAGTGTGTCACCACCCTCTGTGTGAAAAACTTCCTCCTGCTACCTAACCTACACCTGTCTCAGATTAATGCTTTCCTGCCCCTCAATTTAATATTAAGCATCAATAACTCAATAACTACTGTAGATCACCAAAGTAAGTTACAGTGCATTTAAGTGGTAGACTTGAAAGAAAACAGTGGGAATCCCAATTCCATTTGCCCAGCCACTGTCATTCAGCTACATCCAGTCTTCCTTAGAAACAACACAAGATACAACCTCATATTGAGTATTCAACCACAAACTTTTCACAGAAAAAGAAAAATGCTAACTTGGTTAACTTGACAGAGGCTTACTTGTATTCACATACAAGACACATGTACACACAAAACAATCACCTGAAATCTTTTTTAAAAGTTTAATTATTAGTACTTGGACTGGGTTTAACTGCTTTTACTCACCTTTAAAGTCTCGTTGAGTACTTGTTTCAAGTTGCTGGGATTGTGCTACTGTCTTCAAGAGTTCCTGAATCACTACACGATCATTATTTCCAGCATCACTATATTAAGAGTTCAAATAGAACTTTTAGAACAACTTCATACAACATACAAAAACTATGGTCTTAAAGTAGCCCCTTGGTCAACCAACTGACAACAATGACAAAATATTTCAGAAGATATCAAGGTTAGAATTAACCTCAAAACACATTTTATGAAAGTTACCTTCCTAGTAATAAAAGTCTCAGAGCTTATGAAGGCACAGCTGGATTATCTGCACTGTTTTGGAAAGCAGCAAAACTGCTGTCAGATGATTTTAATCAGCTCATTAAAACAAAACTTTTTTCCTTGTATGAAAAAATCAAGTTTTATCGCTTGCAGTTTGGACAGATATTTACTGTGAAGGTTTTTGCCCATGATTACAAGAAAAAGTCTAACCACAGGGAATGGTGACTAAGTCAAAGGACTGATTTAAGTGCATTTTCCCTTCAAGTTACATGCTAATGTAAAGTTGAATGGCAGGCACACTCTGAAGTTCTAAGAAGTTACTAATGAAAGACAGATATTGCACAGGTGGTTAGTTTGTTTCTCTTAAAGTCAGGAAAACATGAGGAAATAAGGTGATCTTCCTAGTTCTTCTCCATACTATCACCCACAGTGGCACTAAGCAGCTTTCTTGGTCCCTAGGATGTATCTAGGTCAGCTACATACCACAGTCACTGGGGGCTGACTTGCAACCTAGATTACTGACACAGCAAAGGAAAGAGGAAGCAGCTCTGCAACATTTCACTGTCAAGCAAATGAAGAAAGCATTTGTTTGTCCTGCTCAAGTCATCACTCAACCAGACCTTTCCTTTTCTTGCCAAGGAGCAGGCAGCAGAATAGGCAGAAGCAGCATATCATCAGCTTAGTTCAGCAGTTCACAACCTGCTGAACACATTATGCTGATTCTGACTGAGGTGCCTACTCAGTTTAGAGATGTTTCTTTCACAATCTGATCTGCAATTACAGAGGGAAAAAAGCAAAAACACCAACACTTATACAATCTACTTCTACTCTATGAGTTACACCAGCTTTTGGAATGAGTTTTTAAAAATACTTTCCTAGCATTTGAAGTGCTTTCTGCAGTAACAAAGAATCCAAGGTCATAATTTCATACTGAAAGACTATCACTGATACTATGCAATCAGAGCAAATAATCCAGGAAAACAATATGCAAAAAAGCTAACTTCACCCACAAACATACTTTTCACTGTTCCTTTTTCTTTCACTTCCAAGTTACTCAGGGGTATCTATTTTATAGAATCATAGAATGGCCTGGGTTGAAAACAACCACAATGATCATCTAGTTTCAACCTCCTGCTGTGTGCAGGGTCACCAACCACTAGACCAGGCTGCCCAGAGCCACATCCAGCCTGGCCTTGAACGCCTCCAGCTCAAATAACTACTCAAATACTACTGTTATAGCTCAAATAACTACAGTTCAAGCAACCAGCAGACAAGGCTTTGGAATTAAGATGACAGTTTCCTTTTGGAGGAAAAAGGAATGGTTCTGCCTAACAAAGTTCCATAATGAACTCAGTGTCAGTAGTATCCTACCCTTTTCCAGAAGCTAATTTCCTTTCCCTGATAGCCATTTATCATGTTACAAAAGACACACTACACAATCTCACAGTATTATAAATCAGTCAAAATTCACAGACCAAACTGATAAGCATGAAGACAACACACACAGGTTCACTGGCTAGTCAGACATAAACATGGCAACTGTTATCACTTCAAGTCCATGCATTAACTCTTACAACTCAGTCATTGTATATAATGCAGCAATTCCACAATTTTAGGATTTTTTAAATATAAATAACACACATTTATTATGTTGTTTCAAATTGAAATTACTCTAGAAAGTAATGAGCATTTGTAGTATTTGGTTAAACAGATCGGAAGACATCTCTCATATCACCAAAGTAACATTTATTTTTGTTTATTCTTGTGTATACAGTTCATTAGCAAAAGCCTTAGCTTCACTTGTCTGAAGTGAATACCAGCAGATACTCACTAATCAATATACAGAAACTAAGAGCAGCACAAGTTTTTAAAGGAACACATGTGAAAACTACTTTGAAAAAGTAAAGCAACATGAGACAACATTTAGTAATTAGCACAATGCTAGAAGTTACTTCAGGATAGACACAGTCTTAGAATTCCAACTCTGGAAACAAAGCTACCATAACCAAAGCCTATTGCTGCATACAGACATTTACTGTCCTGTGATTTAAAGCAACATGAATGAGCTTCAGGTAAATGTAAGTATTACTTTGGGCTACTGTCACCAGCAATTCCACTACTGTCAAAGAAGGCATACAGCACAGCATTATAGCTCCTGATATTCAACTCAACAACTTATCTACTTCACGACAGGACTCCCAGTATTTTGTGAGCATTTCCATTGTTACTACTGTTTTTCTTTTAAAAGGGGGAAAATTCACCTCTCTGCTCCATGCCATTTTAAGACTTACAGGGTAAACCTTGCTTTCAAGTCACTTTATTTTTGTATATGTGACAGAAGTAATGACCTAGGATCACTGGTTCAAACAGAAGTTTCTGGTTGCAACATAAATGAGTAAACCAGAATTTTTCCTGGGTAGTGAGTCCTCTGCACACTTATAGTTAAGTTCTGGGTAGTTAAGCAGAACATTACTGCTAAATACACAGAAATCCAAGTTGTCTGCTCACTCAAAGCTGTTTAATTAAAACTCCTTTCCCTACCCTTATTTGCAACCCAAACTTCAAATCATTATCTAGTTTGCTCAGGCAATAAATTGAGCAGTCAGGCCCTTATATACTCATCGCAAAACCACTTCAAATGTAAGACACTGATCACATTGCATGTGGGACTTCTTTTTAGGGTATACTTACCTTGGGTTAACTTCAAGGTGGTAATTACTTGCAATCGTGCTAATTTCAATTTTCTTTTTAGAAGGTGCCTATGTAGAGAGAAACCATAATAAATTAGTATCCAAAGAACTCTTCAAGAAAAGAAATCTTGCAGATTAGAAATTGTTAAGTCTCAGATCAAATGAACACTAAGACACTGCTCCTATGCATCTCCTACCCCAGGAGGAGATAGAGGAGAAAAGGAGCACTGATGCATCATCCAGCCAGTAGAACAGTAATTATAGCAACATGCAGCTCCCATTACTGCATCATCCAGGTATTATATTTGTTCCACTATTGTTTTTTTTCCTTCACAACAACCTATAAATAGGATTTGGTAATTCCTTACTGGTTAAGTTTTCCATAATAAGGATTTTGAGTAGATAATTAGTTATTACTAGAAGGTTGTATTAAATGCCTAAAACCAAGGCAGATTAAAAAAAAAAAAAAAACACAACAGCTTAAACTAATTAATGCTGAAATTGTCATTTTGAACATTGAACATTTGAACATTCTGTTCTCATTCAATGAGAACAGAAGTTATAAATTGCATGAGAAAAGTAACGCTTACAATTTGAAAATTAAGGGTTACCTTTACAGAAAATTGAAATTCTCTACTAGTCTATTATATACACTATTGTTCAAACTGGTATAAGAAATAAAAACAAATCACACCCATCCACAAACATCTAAGCAACAAGAATATCCATTAACAGTGGTAAAAGTTATCTATTCAAGTAACCAAACAAGTATAATTAATTGCATAAACAAGCTAAAAGATACTGAATACAGAAATATATATATAAATGCATATAAATATAGATGTCTCACAAAAGAAATGTGACAGTACACAAATATCTGCAGTGCTTAGCAGGAGAGGAGAATTATTTTTTCTACCGTTATACTCTGATGCTCAATCCTCAGTTTCTCCACACCTGCACCATATAATTCTCTTAACAAACACATTATCCTTGTCTTCTTCCCAGCTCCTGATGGCCCATACACCAACAGATGAGGGAAGTCACCACACTGAACCTGAACACAAAGCAATAAGATCCATTAGTTTCAACGGTATTTTCCTTAAGTTGCAAGAGAACATTTGTATATGCATTCATAGAATCACAGAACAGCCTGGGTTGAAAAGGACCACAATGATCATCCAGTTTCAATCCCCCTACCACGTGCAGGGTCACCAACCAGCAGACCAGGCTGCCAGAGCCACATCCAGCCTGGTCTTCAATGCCCCCAGGGATGGGGCATCCACAACCTCCTTGGGCAACCTGTTCCAGTGCATAACCACCCTCGTGTGAAAAAATTCCTCCTGATACCTAACCTAAACCTCTCCCATCCCAATTAAAACCATTCCCCCTTGACATATTGCTACCCGCCCTCGTAAACAGAATTGTCATACAGTCCACTGTCACACAAGTTCACATGTCATTGTTTTTCTTGTACAACTCAGTCCTAACTCATTAAGAACTTAACTCCTTTCCTGCAATATTTTCTCTGGAACATTTTCCCATCAAGACAATGTATAGCCTCATTTACCTATAAATCTCAAAAACAACCAAAAAACAAACAAACAAAAAGGAATCTAGATTCACAACAGTTGGAAAAGGTCAAGAACATCCTGACAATCGTTTTGATCATCATCTAAAATCACCCGATCCGATCACCAGCCCCCCACCACTATGCACACTAAACCATGGCCCTCAGTGCCACATCCACATGGTTCTCAAACACCTTAGGGAGGGTGACTCCACCACTTCCCCGCACCAATACCTCACCACTCATTCTGAGAATATTTTCCTAACATCCAATCTGAACCTCCCCTGACACAGCTTGATGCCATTACCGCAATAAACATAGAACCACAGAATGGTTTGGGTTGAAAGGGTGCCCAGAGAGGTTGTGGATGCCCCGTCCTCGGAGGTGTTCAAGGCCAGATTGGATGAGGCTCTGAGCAGCCTGGTCTAGTATTAAATGGGGAAGTTGATGGCCCTGCATGTGGCAGGGGGGTTGGAGATTCATGATCCTTAAAGTCCCTTCCAAGCCTGGCCACTCTGATTCTGTGAAGACCATCGAGTTCCAACCCCCCGCTATAGGCAAGGGGGTGATGCCACGCTAGATGCCTCCCTCTAGACCAGGTCGCTAACAGCTGCATCCAGCCTGGCTTCGAATGCCTTCGAGGAGGGGGCATCCACGTACAAGGAAAAGGAAGAAGACAAAGCTTAGAGGTGTAATATATACACGCACTCAGCTCCATCAGGTGCTCAGAGACGCTCCAGCCTGACCTCGATTGCCTCCCTGAACCCTCACAACTTCACAGCACCAGGTATCATCGAGGCTCGCTTCAGACCTCCGCCTAAAGTCAGCTAAAGAAGACAAGCCCCGCTATCAAAACCATCGACCTCTCCCACGTACAACACGGGCAACGCCAGCCCGCCAGCCCCTCGTTCCAACCCCACCTCACGCTCCCCCTCCCCCGCCACGACCCCTTCAAGGCCAACCCGCACAATTGGGTCCTTAAAGGCACGGCCGGGCCCCTCACCAGGCTACGGAGCTGCGCCGCCTGCTCACGGTGGAAGTCCAGACGGCTGAGGGCGCTGGGCCGGTACTTGTCCACCCACAGGCTCATGGCGGTTGAAAAGCGCGCCGTTCCAGCGCCCCGCGCAGCCCCGGCCGCTACCGGTGGGAGGAGCGGTAGCTACGGCAGCCGCCGAGGACACACAGCGGCGGGCAGCGCTTTCCTCTCCCGCCCTTCCCCTCATTTCCGCCCTCCGCGATTCCAAGCCCTGGCTCCACACCACCGTCCAACAGCCGATCCCGATGTCTGAGAGTGTCCAAGCGCTCCTTGAGCTCCGACACTCGTGGCCGTGCCCACAGCCCTGGGCAGCTGTTCCATGCCCACCGTCCTCTGGCGCAGCCCCTTTCCCTCACCCCCAGCCGCCCTCCCCTGACGCAGCTCCATGCCGTTCCCTGTCGCTGTCACACGGAGCGGAGCTCAGCGCTGCCCCTCCGCTCCCTGTGAGGAGCTGCGGCCGCCATCAGGCCTCCCCTCAGCCTGCCCTGCCCTGGCGCTTTTTTCTGCCCTAATGAACAAGCTAAAATGTGTCAGCATAATGCTATACATCATTTTTGGAAGGAAAAAAATGTATGTATATATATATATATATATATATATAAAATTAATAGTTCATGTGACTTCCAATTTTATCAGCTCTGTGTTCACATTTATTCTCAGTCAGAAAGCCATAATGTAGGTAATGGGTTTGTTTTCCCAGACACTCATGTTACTTCTAAAGGTCTCATCAACTAGTGGGGGCAAAGAGAGCACATCAACAAGTAACACGGCCGGTTTCTTTGGAAAAGTCATGTTATGTACTCTTCCAGATGCTTGCAAATCAGTTTTATTTGCAGATTGCCTTGAATGAGCAAATTCACCTTGTACTGCTTGGCAAGCACCGTCCTTAAACGTGATTGTGCCTGTGGAAGCACCAGGCTGTGTGTACCTTTGAATCCCTTTGCTCTGCCCATCACCACAGCATGACCTGTTCCTCTGCTGCTTTCTAAATTTACATTTTGCAGTCTACAGTGTTTCTCATGTGGCTCTCCTCTACCATCTGTTTCTCAGAGTAATCTCTAAATTTGTCCATGAGTGCTTATTTTCCTTTGTCTCTTTTGTTAGTCACATTTATGACTCGCCTTTACAAGCTTTTTCAGATTCTCTGTTCATTTACCTGGCTTTTAATAATTTCTGATTGATGTGCTACTCTTTTGTCTATCAGTGTTGCGCTAGACTTAATTGCAATCTCTGACAGAACTCCTTATAATAACCCTCTGAGTGTTTCCAGCCCCCAGAGGTACTTTGTGTTTACAAATTCCTTCCACCTTCTCTCAAGTGCTTTGTCAGACTCCAGGCTTTTGAAAGTATCAGCAAAACCAAATCTTCTTTGAATGAGATCAAGCTTAAACAGGTAGGACGCCACCCAGCAGGCTTTCGATACTTTCAGCGCTCAATGAGATCGAGCAGAACTGAAGAAATCTAACAGCTCTTAAGAGCCCTAAGCTCTTTTTACTGTTAGGTCATTAAATTTCCTTAGCATCTCTTGTTTTTCCCAAGGAGAAAATGTTGGCAATTGTGTGCTGCCTCAGTAATGTATGGGCCTACACTTATGTTTTCAGTTAAATTATTCCTTGCCTTACAAAGTAATTAAACAGATGAACAAAATTGTTTTGCTAAGTAAATATCTTACCATTTTAAAACCTGGGTCTGCATGAAGCATTGCAGTTGTGGTACCTTTTAATAGATTAAAGTGCCCTAGAAAGCTTTGATTTTCTACTTCATTAATTTTTCAACTTCACTATAAATCTAAACAAAAAGAAGTAAATATCCAAAATGGAATGGTTTGACCATGTGCATTACAAATAAATTAATGTGAAGGATACAGGAGATTGTGGTAATTTCAGTTGCAGCCACAATTCACTCAAATGTAAGGACTGTAATAATACATTTTCACTCATTTTGTTCAGTCCAGCATAAAGTTCAAGAGGTAAAATGACTTCTCTGCGTGAATAAACTAGGGAATGTGTCTTGAAATAGAGATTTTAATTACATATGGCATTCTGAGCCCCCTACTAGCAGCCATGTTATTAGAATGTGACACCATGTCAGGCACTCTGAAAGAAGCCCCATCCTGTACTAAATTGAAGTAAAAGATCTGGGCTCGGTGTTTAAACATACACATACATTTTAACCAATTTTAAACTGATTATTAATGCAACGTTAGAAGAAATTAGAGCGTTCTTACACTGACCTCCTCAGTCATTACAGTGTGATTGCTTCTAGCAATCCAAGTTAGCTTTTAACTTGTCCAAGTACCATTTTGTTGTACAACAACTTCTGTTTTTCTGACAAGACTGTCTGGCATCCTTTGATCCTTCAGGCTGCTTACTTGTCTGAGATAAATTTTCTTTTCAGTTTCAAATATTTTAGTAGATTATTGCCACTCTGTTAGCTGTCAGTCTCGGTTACATCACCCTGTCCCCATCAGAGTGCCTATATTGCTGCAAGTAAATTGTAGCTTATCAGGAAAGAGTAGATCACTAATTAGAATAAAAAAAAAAAAAAAGACTGCAATAAAGTGACATCTGTTCTGTTGGTGACATGCTGATGTCATGCAGATTGAATGTGACAGTGGGAAGAAAAACACTAAAGGTGATAGCCAAAAAAAATCTAAAATAACAAATATTCCATATAGACTAGCAGCACCGAAGAAACTGCTTCTTTATAGGATGTGCAAAATGAAGAAATCCAAGGTCTTCAGCAGTCTAATAGGTTATCTTACAATCCTGTTTTTACCCTGGAAGAGTAACGTAAGAAATATAGCACAGAATTTATCTATGCAAGGATTAGGCAAGCTATAAAAAGGCACAAGAAGATACTGAAGGAGCATAATGGAAAAGGCAACAGAGATAACATTTAATTGGAGGATACATCTTGTCCATCAGGCATTACTGCAAAAGCTTTTCTACATCTTTCCACCTCAAAAAGATGACGCAAATTCTTTTACTAAAGAACAGGTAGGATGAAAAGAAATAGGTCTATTAAAAAAAAAAAAAGAGAAAGTTAAATCATTGTATGTTCACGCACTCAGGACACTTAGCAGTATCATAAAATTATTTAATCACTACTCTACATTCCAATTTCTGTTGCTAAGGACCAGACCCTTCTCAGCTTTTCAAGTCTCTCGCATGCCTGGAGAATTAAAAGATGAGATACACTTTACTGTTCTTAGCCCTCTGTAGCCACATTTAAGTGTAGCTGTGCAAACCTAAGATGTTTTGTTCTACCACTAGGAATTGTTAAACTACGCGTTTAAGCAAGATTTACAGCAACACAGTTAATCAGGGCAGAAAACATAGAAAAAGAAATGATGTTTTTATAATATTCTGAACATAAATTCATAAATTCAAACATCTATTTGCAGACATAAAGACTTGTAGGTCCATTCTACAGTATTTTGAATAAATATTCATTTTCTACAGAATTTTGGGATAAAATCCATAGGTTATTATCATTCATAGTTTAGGTCTTTCCCTCAGATTTACAAGGTCACTGACTGAAATATATATAGCCATGTTCTTCAGTTTTCATCAGCCTGTATTTTGCAGTAAGAGAAGAGCTGGAGCAGAGCAAGTTCTATCCATTAAGACCTGAAGCTATGGATTTACTGGTCTTTTGAAAGTCTTGATGTATTAAGAAATATTCAACATTCTTTTCTGGGTATATCCTAAATAAGAAACAAGCTCTTATAGAAGCTAATCACGCAGCTCTTTGAAAATAACATGTTGTCAGATACTTAAATATATAAACAAATATTGGCACTTGATGTTAATTAAGAATTAATTTTGCAAGGATGCTGACATTTGGCATTTTTTATCTCTGGGCAAGGAAGTATAGGGTTGACAAAGGACTATGAATTATTTTGAGATGTGAAATTATTTACTTCTATTTCCACCAGAAATTGAAGTAGATTTTTTTTTAATTGACTGGAGTTGCATTTTGATGAAAAAATCACCAAAAATAGTGCATTCTAAATAACGTAGCCAGCATAATAGGTGTTTTCTAGATTTCTTTAACTTTCACCAAGATAATAAGTGGTCCAGCTCCTTTGAAGTCATAGAAAGTTTGTAAAAGAAATCCAGAAACCTCTAAACACATATTAAGGTATTTCCAATTATGGTAATAATTGTGGGATGTAAAATGAAATTCCTGTTGTATTGCTAGGGAGAAAGTTCTCGTAATCTTTTGTTTTCTGCTGTGCAATGGGCAGAACATACTGTTTGTCCCTAGTTATGGTTTGTATGCATTTACTGAAACTTGAAGGTCTTATAGCATTAACTATGTTTTATGAACTAATATTTCAGAGCTTGACTACCATAATTTCATCTCCTATGAAATTTTACTGTTCCTAGTAGCTATCTAAATATTATCTTTGTGGGATTTCCTTTTTTTCTGGGGCCGGAGTGATCTTTCTCCTAATTCACGTCTCCTAATTTGTCTTTCACTTGTAGAATAATCATATTTGTGTTGGCTCAACAAGTGTACAAACGCTTTTGAATTTCTTGGTTTTCTTCTGTGACTCTTCATTTTCACTAGAGCTTTAATCTCTAAGTTTGATGTTAATTTCAGTATAGTTTGCTGATGTTTCACATTTTGATCTGAGGCCAGCCCTGTTTATACACACTGAGGTGGAATCGGCTTATTGAGATGGGAACAGTTCTCTGTAATCCAGATGAAAGGTAGCAAAGAGTGTATGACCAACAACAATTTATCCTCACACTTTTCTGACAAGCAGCACATTTTCACAATCTCAATGACCATCTTTCACTTATAAACGTAATTTTAAAAATAATACATCATGTTACACATCACATTTTTATATATTTAAATGTCCAGTATGCAATTACAAGATAAATGTGGGATAGAAATGTAATTTAGAAAATGTTTACCAGAGACACACAGCTTTTCGTTACAGTAGATGTACACACAACATTATCACATAACTGTGATCTTGGAAAATTACCACAGAGCAATAGACACTGTGAGCAGCTATTAGTATTGATATGCCTTCAGACAGCTGTATTGCTATTGATGTGAATTGGAACAAACCACAGTCCCAGAGCTCTTCATGATGAA